AAAGGGTTGCCCCTACGAGCAGCCCAAAACCGTCTGATAGTCCGGATAGCTCTGTCGCACACAAAGAGGGACGTGGCGAAGAGTTCGACGTACTACAAAACACAATGATGAGTTTGTTCAATGGATTGGCTGATGAATTCAGAACAACAGTCGACGACCTTCAAGAAAGGATGGCCGCCATGAGCACTCGAATTGAAATCACCATGAAAGCCGTGGAAGGTGTCGCGGCTGGACAAACTAATACAGGATCCAACAAACTAAGGTTCCCAGACCCTAGAGCCTTCAAAGGGAATCGGGACGCCAAAGAGTTGGAGAACTTCATCTTTGACGTCGAACAGTACTTCAAAGCCACAACGGCTTGTACCGACGACAAGAAGGTGACTGTAGTCGCGATGTATCTCATAGACGACGCCAAACTGTGGTGGCGTACGAAGGTGCAAGACATCGAGGATGGATTGTGCACCATCGACTCATGGGAGGACCTCAAGAGAGAGTTGAGGGAATAATTCCTCCCCGAAAACGCAGGGCATATAGCAATGGAGAAAATAGTAGCCCTGAAACACATTGGAAACATACGAGACTACGTCAGACAGTTCTCAACCCTGATGCTGGATATCAGGGGCACAGCAGAGAAGGACAAGGTGTTCTTCTTTATAAATGGTCTACAGCCGTGGGCCAAAACAAAGATACATGAGAACAGGGTCCAAACCCTAGCTGCCGCAATGGCCTGCGCCGAGAGACTCGTAGACTGTGGGAACGAAGCAGGATCCCAAAGAAGAGCGACACCAGCCCCAAACAATGGGGGCAAACCATACAGACCACCAGGCCATCGAAATGGAAGCCCCAACAGACCGAATGGATGGACGGATAGACCTCCTCAAAACAATCAAGCAGGGACATCTCGAGGGCCTTACCACCATCAAAAGAACCACCCGACGACGCCTTTGCAATGCATGTTGTGTAAAGGCCCCCACAAGGTATCCTACTGTCCTCATCGGGCCTCCCTCACTGCACTTCAAGTGTCCATTCAAGAGAGCAATGAGGCAAGGGTCGAGACTTTGCTAGACAAGAAGGAAGATCACGACAACCCCCGAATGGGCGCACTCAAATTCTTTTCAGCCCTCCAACGGAAAGTCGAACCGAAGGAGATAATAGAGAAAGGGATCATGTTTGTAGATGCCACAATAAACTCTCAACCGAGCAAGAGCACTCTGATAGACTCTGGAGCAACTCACAACTTCATTGCCGATCAAGAAGCCAGAAGATTGGGACTCACCATAGGAAAAGACCCGGGGAAAATGAAAGCTGTCAACTCCGAGGCCTTGCCTATTGTGGGAGTTTCCAAAGGAGTCCCCTTCAAAATAGGGGATTGGACTGGAGAGCTAGACCTTGTCGTGGTTCGCATGGACGACTTCGACGTGGTACTTGGGATGGAGTTCCTCCTGGAACACAAGGTCATCCCAATGCCATTGGCAAAATGCTTGGTGATCACCGACCGTAACCCCACAGTAATACCTGCAAGCATCAAGAAACCAGGTAATCTTCGAATGATCTCGGCCATACAACTGAAAAGGGGACTCGCACGAGAGGAACCTACATTCATGGCCATACCACTGATAGAAGAAGCAACCACCGAAGAGACTGTCCCAGAGGAAATCAAGAAAGTACTAGACAGCTATACCGACATAATGCCAGAGAGTCTACCACAAACACTACCACCTCATCTTGGCATTGACCACGAAATCGAGCTCCTCCCCGGGGTTAAGCCGCCAGCAAAGAACGCATACCGGATGGCTCCGCCCGAGCTAGCCGAATTGAGGAAACAACTGGATGAGTTGCTGAAGGCGGGATTCATTCGCCCGGCAAAGGCCCCTTATGGAGCCCCCGTACTGTTCCAGAAGAAGAAGGATGGGACGTTGCGTCTGTGCATAGACTATAGAGCCTTAAACAAGGTGACAGTACGCAACAAATATCCTCTACCGATAATATCCGACTTGTTCGACCAACTTCACGGGGCCAAGTACTTCACGAAGTTGGACTTACGATCAGGATATTATCAAGTACGTATTGCCGAAGGGGACGAACCCAAGACGACGTGTGTAACAAGATATGGGGCCTTTGAATTCCTAGTAATGCCCTTTGGCTTGACAAACGCCCCAGCTACGTTCTGCACGTTGATGAACCAGGTTTTCTACGAATACCTGGATCAGTTCGTCATAGTATACCTCGACGACATTGTTGTTTACAGCACAACCCTCGAGGAACACAAAGTGCACTTGAAGCTAGTGTTTGACAAGCTCCGGTAGAACCAGCTGTATGTGAAGAAGGAGAAATGTGCATTCGCACAAACATGCATCAACTTCCTTGGACATGTCGTCAGATGTGGACAAATTAGTATGCATAGCGACAAGATAAAAGCTATCCAAGAATGGAAGGTTCCTACTTCCGTATCTGAGTTGCGGTCCTTCTTAGGACTAGCCAACTACTATAGGCGGTTCGTCGAAGGGTTTTCACGACGAGCCGCCCCATTGACAGAGCTGTTGAAGAAAGACCACCCTTGGTCGTGGTCGAATGATTGTCAAATGGCCTTTAAAAATCTGAAAACAACCATGACGAGGGGTTCTGTCCTCGGGTTGGTAGACGTCACAAAGCCATTTGAAGTAGAAACCGATGCTTCCGACTTTGCTCTTGGTGGAGTCCTTATTCAAGAAGGCCACCCCATCGCTTACGAAAGTCGAAAGCTCAACGATGCCGAACGAAGATACACTGTCTCCGAGAAAGAAATGCTGGCTGTAGTCCATTGCCTTCGAGTCTGGAGACAGTATCTCTTAGGATCACAGTTCGTAGTGAAGACGGATAACAACGCCACTTGCCACTTCTTTGATCAACCAAAATTAACAGCAAAACAAGCCCGGTGGCAGGAGTCGTTGGCCGAATTCGACTTCAAGTTCGAACACAAAGCAGGAAAGAGTAATCAAGCAGCCGACGCGCTGAGTCGGAAGGGCGAACATGCGGCCCTGTGCATGTTAGCCCATATTCATTCAAGTAAGATCGATGGATCGATGCGCGACATCATCAAGGAACATTTACACAAAGACCCATCGCCCAAAGCTGTTGTTGAACTAGCTAAGGCTGGAAAGACACGGCAGTTTTGGATTGAGGGGGACCTCTTGATAACCAAAGGAAATAGATTGTACGTCCCAAGAACAGGAGAACTAAGGAAGAAACTCATTCAGGAATGTCATGATACCTTGTGGGCCGGACATCCTGGGTGGCAAAGAACATACGCCCTAATAAAGAAGGGGTACTTCTGGCCAAACATGCGAGACGACATCATGCAATACACCAAGACGTGCCTCATCTGCCAACAGGATAAGATCGAGAAATCCAAAGTCTCTGGACTCTTGGAACCTCTACCTGTGCCAACAAGACCCTGGGAAAGTGTATCTCTGGACTTCATAACACACCTCCCAAAGGTCGGGGAATATGACGCCATCTTGGTTATTATAGACCGATTCTCAAAATATGCGACATTCATCCCCACTCTCAAATTATGCTCGGCGGAACTCACAGCCCAACTGTTTTTCAAACACGTTGTAAAGTTATGGGGCATTCCGTCGAGCATCATCAGTGATAGGGATGGCAGATTCATTGGGACATTCTGGACTGAGTTATTCGCTTTCTTGGGAACAACCTTAAACATCTCCTCGAGTTATCACCCTCAAACCGATGGACAGACAGAACAGTTCAATTGCTTGCTCGAAAAATACTTACGTCACTTCGTCGACGCTCGCCAAAAGAACTGGATACAATTGTTAGATGTCGCCCAATTTTGCTTCAATTGTCAAACCAGCTCATCTACAGGGAAGAGCCCCTTCGAAATTGTAAGTGGACGACAACCGGCCTTACCCCATATTATTGATCATCCTTATGCAGGAAAAAATCCTCAAGCTCACAACTTTACAAGAGAATGGAAGCAGACGACAGATATAGCCCGGGCATATTTAGAGAAGGCTTCCAAGCATATGAAGAAATGGGCGAACAAGAAGCGTCGCCCCCTTCAATTCCGTGCAGGAGATCAAGTCCTTATCAAGCTGAGACCAGAACAGATCAGATTTCGTAGCCGAAAGGACCAGAGACTAGTTCGTAAATATGAAGGCTCGGTTGAAGTCCTTAAAAAGATCGGGGCTACCTCCTACCGAGTTGCACTACCCGCATGGATGAAAATCCACCCCGTCATTCATGTGAGCAACTTGAAGCCCTATCACCCTGATCCAGACGACGACCAACGAAATGCAACCACAAGACCGAACATCGATCTGAAGCAAAAAGAAACAAAGGAAGTGGAAGAGATCCTAGCCGACAGGGTTAGGAAGATAGGAAGACCTGTACGAACGATTCGTGAATTCCTTGTCAAATGGAAGAATCTCCCTACAGAGGAAACAAGCTGGGAACGCGCCGAAGAGCTGAACTCCGCCGCCACCCACATCGCAAGGTATGAAAATAGTCGGTTGACAGGGACGTCAACCAATTAGTGTTGCCCATGGCCGCATGCCCATGACAAGCCAAACCCTTGTCATGTCTTTTCATTCTAGTGTTTTTCCTTTTGTAATTCTAGAGCGTATGACACCTCAAAAATATCATGTCTAGGCCTACCAGAACTAAAATGGCCCAGAATGTACTATAGGGGGATATGACTAGTCGTCAACTTCTCCCTACCCAAGGTTATATATGCTAAGACGTTGTTATCTTTCTCTTGCTTGCTTATATAACTTCTCTTTCTAAAATCTCTCTTTCCAAAATCTCTCTCTCTCCTCGTTTTCCAAAACCTTCTTTTAAAACCGAGGCTAGAGGCTCGACCGTACGTCGCTTGGCCGTAGGCGACGCAAGAACAAATTGGCTTAACTCACTTGTCGCTGGAAAGTGAGTGCCGCACAATCGCTAGTCCGCTGCCTTCGAAAGCGCGATTGTGTCACTGCGCTCCTTCCTTCTCCTCTGCCTTCTCTTCTTTAACTGTAAACTCTGTCTCTTTGCTTTCCTTGGATTCTGCTTAATGAGACTCTTCAAATGAGATTAAGCGAAGCTCACTCCTTTTCCCTCTATAAATAGGTGGTTCTTTCTTTCTTTCTCCTTCACAGTCAGTCTCGACTCCTTATTCCTTCTTTCTTTCACTGTAGGGAATGGGAATCTTAGCTCAGTCTCATTCATCTCTTTCCTTCCTCATTATCGAGTAAAAGAATAAATAGTCAAAGGGTGTCGGTTTCGGCTTTGTTTACAGTCTAATTCCTCTTGAGTTGAGTCTTTCAAAGCCGCTAATGTTAATATCCCTGATTGCCCAAGGTAAATGGGTTTAGTAGCTCTTTTCTTTTACTCGAATCTAATTGTGAAACTTTGCTGCAAAAAATAAGTTATGAAAATACAAAGGACCTCACAACACTCTCTCACGTGTATACGCTCAAGGAATTTTAGGCCACTCTGTTTGCACTCATTTACACAAATGAAGCTCTCATTCTCACTTCTCAAAATTTTAAATAGAGCAAAGATTGAATTTTGAACTCTGGGTCGATTCAAAACTAAAAAGATGAAAGTAAATAAAAATCAAATTGAAAAAAAAAATGCAAAGGAAACATATATCCGATCTTGAGCCTGAAGCTCTGATACCAAATGATAAGATAAGGAATCAATACAAGGGGAATAAGATTCGGATTACCTTGTCGATCGAATATCTCAAGCCAAGAACACTTTGTTTGAGATTCGAATCACTCCAGAAGCAAGATCGATCATGTCTAGCTTCAATGATTCTTGTTGATCAAATATCTTAAACACTTGTTTGAGATTCGAATCACTCCACAAGCAAGACTGATCATATCGAGCTTGAATGATTCTACATGCAACCTAAACTACATAGAGTTGCAAAGAAACTTAGCCATTGGCTAAAGAAAAGCACAAATGCTTCTTTTGATATATCTTCTAAGTCTCATTACAAATACAACATAGATGGCTTTATATAGCCTCAAAATGAAACTATTAAAGGCATTCCAAAAGTTGTAACATTCACACTTTATGGCCATAATTAGCCATTATGTAAATGTAACCGAAATTAAATAAAAAGTCTTAAAACACAATAACTCTAAATTATAACCCACCCAAAATTTACAACAATCAAACTTTATTCTTCTTCAATGTAGCATGAATTGAAACATCTTTTGATAATTTTGACAACCTTTTCTTCACAGCTTCATTGAAGCATATTGTATGATTGATGTCTCTTGGTTCATATCAGGAAGTCAAGACTCGAGCAAGATTCATTCTTTCTTACTCTGATCCTTCTTTCACTTCTCTTTCTCCTTTCTTTCACGAGGTAAACAAAATAACTACTGAACCTGAACCGGAATCATCATCATCGAATGAAACAAGAATGAGACTTTACAGTAAGGAAAGGGGAAACTGATTCGCTCATGAACCTTTGACTGATTGAACTCGGTAAGGCAGCTAAGCTTACGAAACCCTCACCTATTACGGTCTCATCGAGCTACACTTACTGCTATTCTATTAATGAGCCAAAGAGAAAGGGGAAAGAAGATAGAAAGATTAATTCCCCTAAACCTCTGGATTCTTTCGCTGTAAAGAAGGTCTCACTGCTTGTCGTTGAGCTGCTTCGCACCTTTCCTCTTCATTATCCTGAACGTATTCTTTATGGTCTCATTCATTGCTCCTCTGCCTATCGTTCTCGCAATTCCATTGCCTTAACTACTGAACTCACCTTCTTTCACCTAGTGATATGAACCAAGAGACATCAATCATACAATATGCTTCAATGAAGATGTGAAGAAAAGGTTGTCAAAATTATCAAAAGATGTTTCAATTCATGCTACATTGAAGAAGAATAAAGTTTGATTGAAGGTTGTCAAAATTATCAAAAGATGTTTCAATTCATGCTACATTGAAGAAGAATAAAGTTTGATTGGTGTAAATTATGATACCTTCTTCCATGGTCTCTCCCTCGCATCAAGCCAGGACCAACCGCATGTGGATTATCCTCGTGGTGATCAGAATTGTCGCCTTCATATGTATCGGTTGAGGGCGTAGGTTGTGGAATCCTCTGTCGTGCTTGATTTTGAATCTCCAATCTTCCTATTCGATCAGTCAACTCTTCTATTCCTCGAATTAGTCTTTCCATAGTTCGTTGTTGTGCTTCTCTCAATCGTGCATCAGTAATGTTAGTATTGTCGTCTTGATTTTCCATGCTACAAAAGAAAGGTAAAAGATAAGGAATCTCTACAAGGGGAATAAGATTCGGATTACCTTGTCGATCGAATATCTCAAGCCAAGAACACTTTGTTTGAGATTCGAATCACTCCAGAAGCAAGATCGATCATGTCTAGCTTCAATGATTCTTGTTGATCAAATATCTCAAACACTTGTTTGAGATTCGAATCACTCCACAAGCAAGATTGATCATGTCGAGCTTGAATGATTCTACATGCAATCTAAACTACATAGAATTGCAAAGAAACTTAGCCATTGGCTAAAGAAAAGCACAAATGCTTCTTTTGATATATCTTCTAAGTCTTAAAATACAATAACTCTAAATTACTCTAAATTATAACCCACCCAAAATTTACAACAATCAAACTTTATTCTTCTTCAATGTAGCATGAATTGAAACATCTTTTGATAATTTTGACAACCTTTTCTTCACATCTTCATTGAAGCATATTGTATGATTGATGTCTCTTGGTTCATATCACCTAGTCTTGAACAAGGGTGGAAAGCCTCAAGATGAATGAGAGTGAACTACTTTTCCTTCATGACCTGAACTTTCTAGTCGAGTAAATGAATTAGCTACTTCACCTTATACTCTGAGCTACTGAACTGCAAGGAAAGACTCACAATTCCATTGCCTTACCCTCTATTGAGCTACTTTATACGCTTCCTTCTTGTCTGTCCCTATTGATTCTTTAACTGTAAACCCCTGAACTCAATAACTTGAAGAACTGTAACCCCTCTGTCTTCGTCTTCACTCTTTCACTCGTTAAATAGATAGTCTGATCTTTCTTTTCTGATATTCCCTGATTGAACTGATAACTCTCTTGTAATGTAAACTACTGAACCTCGACTTCTCTCCGGAACAGGTAGGAGATATGGGGCTGGTCTCTTTGCTTTTCTTTCCTCTCGCTGATTGAAAACTATTCTTGAACTGTATAAAGAAGACTAAAGATTAATGGATTGAACGAACTCTTTTACTCCTAAACCAATCCTTCCCTTATTTCTGGAGGTAAACTGTATGTAGGATGATTCTTTCACTCTTTTACTCTCTGGTCAAGCATATTCAATGACTAAGAGTGAACTACTGAACCTATTTATTCTGTCACTCGGTAAACAGAAATTCCATTTCCGGGACTATTACTGATTTCACTCTGAAAATAGAATAGGTCTTTGCTTTGTTTACGAACTTCTCTCCTGAACCTGATTTCACTCTGTAATAGGTGTTTATTTGTTTACGAACTTCTCTCTTTCACCTTCTTTCTTTAACTGTAAACAGGGAATCTTAACTATTTTCCTATCCCCCTTTCTTTTCTTTCTCTTTTTCTTCCTTATTAAATCAGATGAGAGTAGTAAGCTAAGAGTTGATAACAAGGAAATCTCATTAGGAAAAGAAGAATTTTGAATCATCCAAGGAAAGATTCCTTATTCATTGCGAGCATATTCATTTACTTACCTTCAACCACTGGTAAACTAAGAAAATTCAAGGATGGATGTTCGAGCGTCTGCGCCCCTCTACGATAAATGCCCCTTTCCCTATGTATTCTTATTCTTTGACTGATTTCCCTCGATAATAGGTCTTTGATTTCACTCTTTTCCCGGCTTACGATATTCCCTTCCCTGATTTCCGTATACTCTTTCTCCCTTATTAGTGTTGAAAGTCAAGATGGACGAAGGATTCCTTCTCTTGTTCCTATTCTCTCGTGAACCTTCTTCTTCTTTCATTCGGTAATTAAAGGGAAAGACTGAACCGAAACCTTATTCTTGAACTCCTTTTTACAGTAAGGGATATTAATTAGCTGGTTGCTTTGAAAGACGAAAACCAGACAAGATGCATTCTCCGGGGAACCCATATTACCTGACCCTGAACCTGATATTGAACTTCTCTTTCCGCTTATGAATCAAGTGTTGAAAGGAAGGACTCAACCAACTCAAGCAAGATCCCTTCAAAGACTCTTTCTCTCGGTAATAGGTGTGTTTGTTCTTTCTCCTGAATCTCGGCTGCTTCTTTCTTGCTTTCACTGTAAGAGAAGGTCAAGCTACTGAACCTTTGCCTTATTAATCAAGTTTAGACGAAAGAAGACTGTAAACAACTGGGAATCTTAGCTCTGATCTTTCTGCTTATGAATCATCAAGTGTTGAAAGGAAAGACGAAAGATGAATGAGAGTGCACTCCTGAACCGTAATCGATATTACCTGATGTTATTGAGAGAGAGTTGTTGATATGAACCAAGAGACATCAATCATACAATATGCTTCAATGAAGATGTGAAGAAAAGGTTGCCAAAATTATCAAAAGATGTTTCAATTCATGCTACATTGAAGAAGAATAAAGTTTGATTGTTGTAAATTTTGGGTGGGTTATAATTTAGAGTTATTGTATTTTAAGACTTTTCATTTAATTTCGGTTACATTTACATAATGGCTAATTATGGCCATAAAGTGTGAATGTTACAACTTTTGGAATGCCTTTAATAGTTTCATTTTGAGACTATATAAAGCCATGTATGTTGTATTTGTAAGGTAGACTTGGAAAATATATTAAAAGAAGCCTTTGTGCTTTCTTTAGCCAATGGCTAAGTTTATTTGCAACTCTATGTAGTTTAGGTTGCATGTAGAATCATTCAAGCTCGACATGATCAATCTTGCTTGTGGAGTGATTCGAATCTCAATCAAGTGTTCTTGTCTTGAGATATTTGATCAACAAGAATCATTGAAGCTAGACATGATCGATCTTGCTTCTGAAGTGATTCGAATCTCAAACAATGTTCTTGCCTTGAGATATTCGATCAACAAAGTAATCCGAATCTTATTCCCCTTGTATTGATTCCTTATCTTATCAGTTGTCGAGGAGGAGGTAAACAGGAGGATCTGAAGGTCAAGCTCCGAAACCTATTTCATTTCTTCTTGATCCTGACCCTATTTCTTCTTGTACGAGGTAAAGCGGCAGGAGGATGATTCGCTCTTTGAGTCTATTCCCTGAATTCTGTTCTTGTTCTTCTTTCCGTTCAAACACTCACAGTAAACAGATGGTAAGCGGATTCACTTCTGGCTGGGATGATCCTTGTTTGGCTGTCTCACTCCCCGAGTATTCTTCAATCTATCTTTTCCTCCTCCCCTTGTAATAAAGATTAATTCTTTAACGGATCTTTACTCCTCCCTCTCCCTTCCCTACTACTTAACTAATGACCCTGCCCTTGCTGAACCACCTCTTCTCGTGTCTTCGCCTCGTCGCCCTCCGGGTCTCACAATTGAATTGCCTCTCCTTTGTTTCATTCTTTGGCTTTCGCTCCTCTCCCTCTCGGTCGAGTGGCTTTCACTCCTTTCCTTTGCCTCTATTATTGCCTGAACTACTGAACCTACTTATTAAGTATCCTTCACTCCTTCACCTATGGATTCTTTAAGGAGGTCAAGCAGCTAATGAATTTACTCCTCTCCTGTAAACAAATTCAAGAATGTTTGCTTCGCACCTTACTTATGAGTTATACTTACTAAACTACTGACCCTATCTATTGATGGATTCTTTCTCCGTAACCGTCACCTCTGCCTCTATTAGCATCAGTTCTTGTTCTTTCCCTTCAAGACCAGTAAGGGAAACTCCTTCACTCCTCTCCCTCTTTCTTGGTCTCACTGCTTTCGCTCCTTTTCCGATTGATTCCTGAACCTATTTATGAACTGTAAAGACTTTACTCCTTATGAATGAGAGAGAGTTAGTTTACGAACCTCACTCCGGCCCTTATTTCTTCTTTTCCTAGGTAAGCTGGATGAGAAGAGGGCCAAGCCCATTCACCGGAACCTGACGAGAATGTAAGTAAGAAAGAAGAATTCTCCTGCCTGAACCTGCTGCCTATGTTATTCACTCGGTCAAGCTAGCACTAAGAAAAAGGAAAGACTCTGATATGAACCAAGAGACATCAATCATAACATATGCTTCAAAATGATATGAACCAAGAGACATCAATCATAACATATGCTTCAATGAAGATGTGAAGAAAATATTGTTGAAATCATCAAAAGATATTTCAATTCATGCAACATTGAAGAAGAATAAAGTTTCATATGATAAATTTTGGGTGGATTACAATTTAGAGTTATTGTATTTCATTAATGTATTTTAAGACTATTTAGTTACTTTAGGTTACAATTACATAATGGCTAATTATGGCCATAAAGTGTGAATGTTACAACTCTTGGAATGCCTTTAGTAGTTTCATTTTTGAGGCTATATAAAGCCTTGTATGTTGTATTTGTAATGAGACTTGGAAAATATAGTAAAGAAGCATTTGTGCTTTTCTTTAGCCGATGGCTAAGTTTCTTTGCAATTCTATGTAGTTTAGATTGCATGTAGAATCATTCAAGCTCGACATGATCAATCTTGCTTGTGGAGTGATTCGAATCTCAAACAAGTGTTTGAGATATTTGATCAACAAGAATCATTCAAGCTAGACATGATCGATCTTGCTTGTGGAGTGATTCGAATCTCAAACAAAGTGTTCTTGGCTTGAGATATTCGATCGACAAGGTAATCCGAATCTTATTCCCCTTGTAGTTGATTCCTTATCTTATCAGACTCATAGAAGGATGAATGAGAGTGAAGTTGACTCCTCTCCCTATTTTGAGGGCTATGCCATTTTCTCGGTATTTGAGGTCATTGAACTCCTTTTCCTCTCTCTATTCTATTGTATTAGCATAAGTTCTTGTTCTTTCCCTTCTCTTTCACTGTAAGCACTGGCTGGGAATCTAAGCTCTGTCTCTGTCTGATCTTTCTCCTTATGAATCAAGTGGTTGAAAGGAAAGACTGACCTCAAGAATTAATGAGACTTAACTACTGAACCTGAACCTCTGCCTTCTTTGACTCCCTTTCCTCTATTACAAGTCAAGACTCCTTATGCATTCTCCGATTCCATCTTGATAGTAAAGGAAACTCCTGAACCTATTCATTGTTGGTCTTACAATTCCATTGCTGATCCTCTCCTTTACAGTCGAGCCGCTGATAGAAAATCTTTTGTATCTCCATATAACTGTAAAAGTTCGTCAGAGGTTTTTCCTTAATAGCAGCAGCAAAAATCAAATAAATTCCATCTACATATAACTGTAAAACATTAAAAGCGGTTTTCCCCTAATAGCTGGAACTTAAATTAAATAAATTCTATACCCCCCCCTCCCCCCGTATTTTTGGGGATCAAATCTAGGTATTTAGGGCCGAGGTAATTAAGAAGTAGAAGTCAATCCTATCAAAGAATCAATGATCGTTCACTGTCAGTAAATCCTCAAGATTCCTTCTTGATCTTGATCTTCTTCGAAACTCTCTCTTCATTCTCCAGTCTGAACTCCTTATTCATAATTCTTTCTTGAACTCGTTAAATAGATAGTAGTAGTCTTTCTTTCTCCTTCACCTCTATGTCTCATTGCTTGGCTCCTTGCCTTGACCTCTACACCTCGGGCTCACAATTTCATTGCCTTGACTTGTCCCTTCTCTTCTTTCCTTGTCAACTGGGAATCTTAGCTCTTCTCCTTCACCTTTTGGAACTCTAAAGCAATTAGATTATGATCCGGAACCTTCCCTTTTGAACCTATCTATCCTTTGTCTCGTAGCTTCGCTCCTCTCTGTCTTAGCCTTTCTCTAGCTTTCTAGCTTTCTTTGTTTTATTCCCTTCTTGAACTCTTAAGGAAGTGAGGCCGAAACATTCATTCTCCTTCACTCAATCACTTTCAGAACTGTAACCAAAGATTGACGATTAATAGAGAACCGACACCCTTTGACAGATGGAACTCCTTATATTCTCTGTCTCCCAGCTTCGCTCCTTTACTACCGGGAGCTTCTTAAACTGATCTTTCTCCTCTGTCTATCGGTCTCGCTATTCCATTGCCTGAACTGTAACCCCTCTTTCTTCATTCTCCTTTACTGTCGAGCTACTTACTCCGGCAATTCATTCAATCCTCTTGATATGATAAGGAATCAATACAAGGGGAATAAGATTCGGATTACCTTGTCGATCGAATATCTCAAGCCAAGAACACTTTGTTTGAGATTCGAATCACTCCAGAAGCAAGATCGATCATGTCTAGCTTCAATGATTCTTGTTGATCAAATATCTCAAACACTTGTTTGAGATTCGAATCACTCCACAAGCAAGATTGATCATGTCGAGCTTGAATGATTCTACATGCAATCTAAACTACATAGAATTGCAAAGAAACTTAGCCATTGGCTAAAGAAAAGCACAAATGCTTCTTTTGATATATTTTCCAAGTCTACCTTACAAATATAACATACAAGGCTTTATATAGCCTCAAAATGAAAAAGGCATTACAAAAGTTGTAACATTCACACTTTATGGCCATAATTAGCCATTATGTAAATGTAACCGAAATTAAATAAAATGTCTTAAAATACAATAACTCTAAATTATAACCCACCCAAAATTTACAACAATCAAACTTTATTCTTCTTCAATGTAGCATGAATTGAAACATCCTTTGATAATTTTGACAACCTTTTCTTCACATCTTCATTGAAGCATATTGTATGATTGATGTCTCTTGGTTCATATCATTCTCCACTTCTTCAAGAGGATTCGTCCTCGAATCTATTTGTGAAACTTTGCTGCAAAAAATAAGTTATGGAAATACAAAGGACCTCACAACACTCTCTCACGTGTATACACTCAAGGAATTTTAGGCCACTCTGTTTGCACTCATTTACACAAATGAAGCTCTCATTCTCACCTCTCAAAATTTTAAATAGAGCAAAGATTGAATTTTGAACTTTGGGTCGATTAAAAACTAAAAAGATGAAAATAAATAAAAATTAAATTGAGAAGAAACGCAAAGGAAACATATATCCGATCTTGAGCCTGAAGCTCTGATACCAAATGATAAGATAAGGAATCAATACAAGGGGAATAAGATTCGGATTACCTTGTTGATCGAATATCTCAAGGCAAGAACACTTTGTTTGAGATTCGAATCACTCCAGAAGCAAGATCGATCATGTCTAGCTTCAATGATTCTTGTTGATCAAATATCTCAAGACAAGAACACTTGATTGAGATTCGAATCACTCCACAAGCAAGATTGATCATGTCGAGCTTGAATGATTCTACATGCAACCTAAACTACATAGAGTTGCAAAGAAACTTAGCCATTGGCTAAAGAAAAAGCACAAATGCTTCTTTTGATATATCTTCCAAGTCTGATTACAAATACAACATAGATGGCTTTATATAGCCTCAAAATGAAACTATTAAAGGCATTCCAAAAGTTGTAACATTCACACTTTATGGCCATAATTAGCCATTATGTAAATGTAACCGAAATTAAATAAAAAGTCTTAAAATACAATAACTCTAAATTATAACCCACCCAAAATTTACAACAATCAAACTTTATTCTTCTTCAATGTAGCATGAATTGAAACATCTTTTGATAATTTTGACAACCTTTTCTTCACATCTTCATTGAAGCATATTGTATGATTGATGTCTCTTGGTTCATATCATTCTCCACTTCTTCAAGAGGATTCGTCCTCGAATCTATTTGTGAAACTTTGGTGCAAAAAATAAGTTATGGAAATACGAAGGACCTCACAACACTCTCTCACGTGTATACACTCAAGAAAATTTTAGGCCACTCTTTTTACACACGTTTACACAAATGAAGCTCTCATTCTCACCTCTCAAAATTGTAAATAGAGCAAAGATTGAATTTTGAACTCTGGGTCGATTAAAAACTAAAAAGATGAAAATAAATAAAAATCAAATTGAGAAGAAACGCAAAGGAAACATATATCCGATCTTGAGCCTGAAGCTCTGATACCAAATGATAAGATAAAGAATCAATACAAGGGGAATAAGATTCGGATTACCTTGTCGATAGAATATCTCAAGCCAAGAACACTTTGTTTGAGATTCGAATCACTCCAGAAGCAAGATCGATCATGTCTAGCTTCAATGATTCTTGTTGATCAAATATCTCAAACACTTGTTTGAGATTCGAATCACTCCACAAGCAAGATTGATCATGTCGAGCTTGAATGATTCTACATGCAACCTAAACTACATAGAGTTGCAAAGAAACTTAGCCATTGGCTAAAGAAAAAGCACAAATGCTTCTTTTAATATATTTTCCAAGTCTTATTACAAATACAACATAGATGGCTTTATATAGCCTCAAAATGAAACTATTAAAGGCATTCCAAAAGTTGTAACATTCACACTTTATGGCCATAATTAGCCATTATGTAAATGTAACCGAAATTAAATAAAAAGTCTTAAAATACAATAACTCTAAATTATAACCCACCCAAAATTTACAACAATCAAACTTTATTCTTCTTCAATGTAGCATGAATTGAAACATCCTTTGATAATTTTGACAACCTTTTCTTCACATCTTCATTGAAGCATATTGTATGATTGATGTCTCTTGGTTCATATCATTCTCCACTTCTTCAAGAGGATTCGTCCTCGAATCTATTTGTGAAACTTTGGTGCAAAAAATAAGTTATGGAAATACGAAGGACCTCACAACACTCTCTCACGTGTATACACTCAAGGAATTTTAGGCCACTCTGTTTGCACTCATTTACACAAATGAAGCTCTCATTCTCACCTCTCAAAATTGTAAATAGAGCAAAGATTGAATTTTGAACTCTGGGTCGATTAAAAACTAAAAAGATGAAAATAAATAAAAATCAAATTGAGAAGAAACGCAAAGGAAACATATATCCGATCTTGAGCCTGAAGCTCTGATACCAAATGATAAGATAAGGAATCAATACAAGGGGAATAAGATTCGGATTACCTTGTTGATCGAATATCTCAAGCCAAGAACACTTTGTTTGAGATTCGAATCACTCCAGAAGCAAGATCGATCATGTCTAGCTTCAATGATTCTTGTTGATCAAATATCTCAAACACTTGTTTGAGATTCGAATCACTCTAGAAGCAAGATCGATCATGTCGAGCTTGAATGATTCTACATGCAATCTAAACTACATAAAATTGCAAAGAAACTTAGCCATTGGCTAAAGAAAAGCACAAATGCTTCTTTTGATATATTTTCCAAGTCTACCTTACAAATATAACATACAAGGCTTTATATAGCCTCAAAATGAAAAAGGCATTACAAAAGTTGTAACATTCACACTTTATGGCCATAATTAGCCATTATGTAAATGTAACCGAAATTAAATAAAATGTCTTAAAATACAATAACTCTAAATTATAACCCACCCAAAATTTACAACAATCAAACTCCAGAAGCAAGATCGATCATGTCTAGCTTCAATGATTCTTGTTGATCAAATATCTCAAACACTTGTTTGAGATTCGAATCACTCCACAAGCAAGACTGATCATATCGAGCTTGAATGATTCTACATGCAACCTAAACTACATAGAGTTGCAAAGAAACTTAGCCATTGGCTAAAGAAAAAGCACAAATGCTTCTTTTAATATATTTTCCAAGTCTGATTACAAATACAACATACAAGGCTTTATATAGCCTCAAAATGAAACTATTAAAGGCATTCCAAAAGTTGTAACATTCACACTTTATGGCCATAATTAGCCATTATGTAAATGTAACCGAAATTAAATAAAAAGTCTTAAAACACAATAATTCTAAATTATAACCCACCCAAAATTTACAACAATCAAACTTTATTCTTCTTCAATGTAGCATGAATTGAAACATCTTTTGATAATTTTAACAACCTTTTCTTCACATTTTCATTGAAGCATTTTGTATGATTGATGTCTCTTGGTTCATATCATATTGGCTGCATCTTCCAGCCTGGAGGATGATTCTTTCACTAGGTAAAAAGCGTCTTTCTTCTTCCTGAACCGGATTGAAGAGTAAGATGCAGAAGAAACCAAAACCTTATACTCTCCTCCCTGACGATATTACCTTCCCTGAGCGAACCTGATAAGATAAGGAATCAATATAAGGGGAATAAGATTCGGATTACCTTGTTGATCGAATATCTCAAGGCAAGCACATTGTTTGAGATTCGAATCACTCCAGAAGCAAGATCGA